GGGCGCCGCCTTGGCGGCGGCCACGCGGGGCTGCTTGCCGGGCGGCAGGTGCGCGTAGGCGTGCGCCTCCACGGCCGCGCTGCCGCCGCTCACGCCCATCTTCCAGGACAAGCCCTTGTCCGGGCAGTGCACCAGGGGCGGGATGGCGGGCGCCGCCGACGCCGCCGAGAGCCGCATGGGCGACGCGAGGGACGAGGGGATGTGGGGCGCGACGTAGTGGGACGGGGGCAGGTATAAAAAGCGCTCGCCGTTCGTGCACACGGGCGAGTACGCCAGGTGCTGCGGTAAGCTGTAGGTGGACTGCTGAGGTAGCAAGGCCTTGTACATGTTCAACGAATACTTATTTGGTGAGTCCAGGAAAGGGTATATCGTGGGCGTAGCGCCCTCCATGTAAGGGTTTACCCAGGGGAGCCTTAGGTAACTAGCACCGTTGACGCCGAGAGGGCTCTGCTTGTCGCCGGCGGCCCTGTCCAAGCCGAGCGCCTCTCCCGTGGGGACAGAGCTTTTTTGTATTCCAGGTGGCGTTTTGTACATCGCGCTGAAGCCGTTGGGGGCTTTGGCGGAGACGGCAGCATTTTCCACCGCTTCAGAGGGGTTGGATTTGAACTGGATCTCCGGGGTTCTTTCAGGAGTAAATCCGAGACCTGCGATGGAGCTCGCCGCATCCCGCGACTTCTCGGAGCCAAGCCCGCACAAGCTGGAATAGACAATGCTGCTGGGCACCCTGAGTCCTTCTCGCATGAGTCCAGACCTGTCCATGCTCAGAGCCGCGAGGCTGTCGATGCGATGTGCCGTGGTCGCGTCCACCTTCACAGAACAAGAGGAACGTTACTTGGGCTGCACTGCCATGCGACCCACGACGCCTCCCGCTGCAGACCCGCTCCCGTTCGGCACGGAAACGACCCGACGCAAGCGCCGCATCCGCTGTGGAAAAAGTCCCGGGGCTGGACGTGGGAAGCAGAAGCTCCAGAGCAATAGGTGTCACCATCCGTGTCAAGGAAAACCTCCCTGCTCCCCAAATTCACTAGCTAGAGGCAAAGGCCTGAGGAGCTCACGGACGCTGCCCGCGCTCCGCCAGGAGCTCCCTCCTCCGAGCTCTGCCTCGGGGCTGGCACAGCCACGCGAGGCGGGCAAGGTGAGTGGGAAAAGCACTGAAAAACCCAACCTCCCGACAGCGCAGCGCCGAATCCCTGTTGCACTCGGCGCTCCCCACGCGCCCTCCAAGAGGCAGGGGGCTGCCGCCTTTGCTGAAAGGCCGGCGACACGGACCCGTCTCGCGGGACGCGCGGGCAGGCGCCACGACGCCACGCGAGACGGAGCCAAAAGCGCGCGCGCGACGCCGCCGCACAACACGCGCCGCACAGGCACGAGATCAGCAGGACAAACAAGCAAAGTCCAATTTCCCTCGTTCACAGAAACAATTTGTATGTGCCCAGGCAGAGCTGGAATTGCAACAGAAAGGTATTTTAATCATTTCTCCAAAAGGATCATCTAGCCGCCAGCTGGGGGAAGGGTTTAGAGCAGATTCCGTTTCAGCTGCTAAATTCTTACCACGCTGTGATTCAGGTGATTTTCTTCCCTCAACTCCAGTCTGCTTTTCGGTGCATCGCCATCATTAACTGGAATTTTCCTATTAATAAAAAAATAAATAAATAATAAAAAAAAGAAGACACAGCTATTCGAAAACATCCCGTGCATTTCTTATCTCACAAGATTATATCACCACCATATTTTGATTTCCCCAGGGAAGTCCCATACGACACCATACTTACCCTTCCGTGTATTAATGCACAGTGACTATTTTGGAAAGTAAGAAATTCATTCAGAAAACGAGATAAAAGTAAAAAGCGGTTTGACGCTGAGAACATTGAGTATACACATCTCCGAGCAACCTCACCCAATGCAAGGGATTTTTCTTAAGGCTTCCAATTTGCACTTCCCTTCTTCTTTCCCAAGGATATAATATAGCACTTGAAACATACCCTATTCACGGGCCATCCATACGCGCTGCAGAGGAGAAAATTAACCCACGCACACACACACTAATATCATACGAACGTCAGCTGCTCCATGCTAAAGAGGCAGCTGCACATCTGTGCCATAGCAGTGTTGCAGCACTGGGACTTGTTATCACAGAAAGCGCCGATAAAGAATAGACCTCAGTGCCAAATTTCAAATCCCAGGGATAGAAATCGCTGACATGGAGCAGAAGGAAAGTTTCATCATTACCCACAAGAACTCCTTTCAATCAAAGTGCTTAAAGGCACATCAGCACCCGACGCCGGAAATGCAATTTTAGGGGATTTGTTTACTCCTTTCTATAAGATCCACCTTTCCTGCAAGCGGCATGTAAACAACCGGGAGGGAAGCTGCTGCTGGAGGGTGGTGGAAGCAGAGGGGGATGTTTGGCTGTTTTCCTTCAGTTTGTGTTTGCAAACAGTTTTCCCTCCAAAGACCAAAAACTTTCCCTGGCTTCTGTGAGGCTTTTCACACAATGGTGAGAACACAGGCTCAAAGAGGAGGCAGAAAAAAAGCACTGCAAAACCACATCGAATTGGCACAGAGAATTGAAAGCATTACCTGTGAGTTCGGCTGCTGTTTTGCTTTGTGAAAAAGGTGGATTTTAAAAGAAGGGGACACCGCCAAGTGCCTGCACCACCCCACTGGAAATTATTAAAGAGTATAATTTTAATCATCTAATGAATGGTATTCAGAAGGAAGAAGGAAAAAAAAAAAAAAGCAGAAACAAAGAGAAATTCACTTCTCGGAGATGAAAAGGCCACTGTCTGTGTTTCACAGGACAAGCTGTTTGTTTGAGGGCGGAGAGCGCCAAGTCACATGCGTGAGCCCCGCAGCCTGCAGCCGCGCGAAGCACATGCTCGTGGTTGAACTCTCCTTCCCAAGCCACCAAGCGAATTGCAAAAAGTGTGTTTTGTGCACTTTTTTTGCACTGGGGAGCAATCTCCCTAAAGGGCGCCCCTGCTTCACTGGGGCAGCAGGTTGCCTGTTAAAACAGCAAGGCACTGGCTGCTCTCGGGCTCGTCCTGCTGCTCTCCACCACCGCCAGCCCCGTGCGAGCGGGCAGCTGAGGTATTTACCTGTCGTCATTAATTCCACACATGCGGACCCTCTCATTGCTCATCCAGCTATGCACGTTGCCATACAGGGGAGTTGCAGAAAGCATGACGTCTTCTTAAAAATCGCCGCTTCTCTTCACGGTTGTGTGTTCTATTAAAAAAAGAAAGAAAGAAAAAGGGAAAAGAAAAAAGAAAAAAAAAAAAGAAGTTGAGCAGATTTGTCGAGGAGGAAGTGCAAACATCGCAGCGGAGCAGCCAGCCTCCCTCCGGGTAATTAATAATGAATGCAGGATTGGTGCAGGGAGCGAGCTGCCTACGTTAACCACTAAGGGAGATACCCAGCAATAAAGGAGCAAATTGAGGGCATTTATAGGTCAGAGGAGATGGATCTTTTCCCCAGCGCACACCCAGAAAATTAAGAATCATTCCAGGCTATCGACAAATAAAAGTTCCTCCGATGCATTTAATTTGAGCGAGAAACGATTCGGACGGCCGAGGAGTCGAAGCAGGAGCCAAGCACTCGTCGCAGGCTGGCTGCAACGGGAGCCCCTGTACCCGGAGCCAATGCTGCAAAGGGTGCTCACGGAAGCACCCCGGGCATTGCAGCGACAGCCGCGTATCCCACCCGCCGGCCGCTCGCCGCGCGTTCCCGTGCGCGCTCCAAACGGGAGAGGCGCTTCTGCAGAAGGCATCCAAATAAAAACCTCCCCTTCCCGCGCCCGCACACGACTGAACTTGGAGAAAGGGGTTAAAAATAGTAAGTGGGTTGGCGAGCTCCCCACCCCTTGATTTGATTAAGCACCGAGCCCTGGTGGCTTCTGCATGGGAGCCGCTGCCGCCGCTGCGAGTGCTTTCAGTAATTCAATGACGCCTGCTCACTCCAGGGAAAGAAATCATTAGCGGGCTCGCTGGAGAGGCGCGAGCAGCGCAAGCGGGTCGGCGCGGCGCGCAACGGCACGGGCAGGTGGAAGGCAGGGGCCCGCGGCGCCGGGGCCGCCTCCGCGCGCGCCGCACCTCTGCCGGCGCCATCGCCATCGCCGCGCGCATTAAATCCTAGTTTGCTGCCTGAGTGGAGTGTCAGGACAAGCTGCGTTTTATTAACAGGATTATCGCGGCGCATGATTTATTCCGGTGCAAGATTTTAATTGCTCTTCGGAGGCTGGGTCGTTTCTTTCGAGCGAGCCTCCGCCTGCATCCTGCTGCTAAATGCCGGGCTAATAAGTAGGGGGAGCCTTTAATGCACAGGATATCCCCCAGCTCTTCCTCTCGCACAAAAATAGAAGCCTTGGAGCGGGAGGCATGATACTCCTTCTGCACACACACAAGGCAGTAACGGGTGATTGACCACTGGGAGTTTAATGCATAACGTCTCCCAAAGCATACATGCTTCTCGAGCAAACTCATTTCCTTTGTTAGGCTACAAAATATGCAAATGCTCACTTTGGCATTTAATGGGGAAGAATCCCAGATTGTGCCTTTAGCACAATACTTCACACACGTTCGGGGAGATTTAAGAACTAAAACGGCAGGAAAGCCTTGTTCCCGAGCACTTTTTTCTCCCCTCGGAGAGGCCTTTTGTGCAAAACTCCACGTCTGGAACAAATGTATATTAATGAAACGGCGTGTTGACCCTCCTCTCTCCAGAACAGTTAGCTTTCCATAATGAAGCCCCGCAAAAAAGAAAAAAAAAAAAAAAAAAAGATTGCTGCGAGGAAACAAAAATCTGCGGAGATTAGATACTGCGCTATCATTCAAAAGGAGTTATTTCACCGGAAAGATGGTTTCTGGACAGATTTACTGTTTTCCAGATGCGCCGCTCGTAATGTTTTCAATAGAGGCAGCAGCAGCATGGCGAGGGTGATTTAAGGTTTTACATCAGGTTCGGAGTAGCCGCCCCGCGCGCTGCCTCGTCCGTGGGGAACGGAGGGCAGCCCCGAGGAGCCTGCGGGCCTCCCCGCCACCAGGGCCCTGCTGCGTTCGTCCCCTTTCCCTCGGGACACGAGTGAGCAGCGCTCCGGGCCGCCCTCGTGCTCCTCGTTGTCCCGCCAGGAAGCGCACCCCGAAAACAAGGCTCCATGCCTCGCGTCCCTGCTGGCCTGACGCCCGCAGGGCGCCGGGCGCCAGAGCCGCACGGGGGCCACCCGCGCGGCTGGACGCAGCGAGCAGGACGGGGTGCCCCAGTTCTCCCCAGGCCGCCAGCACGGCCCCACGTGGGGCCCGGCCGCAGCACGGCCCGCGTGCCCCACACGCCCCACACAGAAACCCCCCACGGCCGCCCCGCTGAACTCCCCGTGAACCGCCGCGGAGCGGAGGTCTGCTCGGCGCGCGGCGGCGGCGGCGCCACTGCCAGCCATAATTTCATTGCAGCGAGCAACAGACGTTTAACTCTTGGCGCGCCCTTCTCGGCCCGCGCCGCGCTGCGCCGCAGGGGCGAGCGCAGGAAAACCCCGGAGCGGCTCCCGGCCGCCGGCGGCGGCGCGCGCGCGGGCCTGCAGCCCCCCCGCGGCGCACGGAGCGCAGCCCGGCCGCCGGGCGCGCGCGGCATTTCCTGCGGGACGCGCCTGCCCCACAAAGCCGCTTGCGGCTAAATATAGACGCCGAGGGGCGGGCGGCGAGCGGGGACGGCGGCGGGGGGGGAAGCGAGGCAGCTCCGTGGCGCGGCCGCCGCGCGGAACCAGCTGCGCAGAGGGAGAATGAAATGAAATGAAAAGAAAAGCGGATAGGAAAAGGCGGCCGCGAGCACTGACCTGCGGAGCGGCGCGGGGAGGGAGCAGCGGCGCACACGCGCGCGCCGAGCCCGCCACGCCGCTCCCGGGCAGCCGACCGAAACGGGAAGCGCTCGGGTCTCCCTCGCAACGTCAACAGACTCTTGGCAGCCATTGACGCCGGCAGCGGCGAAGTTTTGCTAAGGCGCTCCTGGCGCGGAGACGAGAAAAACCCGGTGCCCGCGGCGGGAAGGAGGCAGAGGAGCAGGCGGGGGGGAGGAAGGCACCGCCGCTTCCCCACCGGGCAAAGCAGCGGTGCCCGACGGTGGGGACCAACGGGGCGGCTGCAGCAGCGGCGGCAGCAGCAGCAGGAGGAGGAGGAGGATCGGAGCGGCGCACGAGTTCCCTTTTGGCGCCTTTACTCTTTCCACCTCGGAGGCGCGCCTGGCAGCGCGCCAGTTTCCACTGCACAAGCCACAGAGGCGGTGGTGGCGGCAGCGCGTGGCGGCCGGGGAGGCTGCGCGGGGTAAAGTCTGCGCGCCGCGGAGAAAGGGAAGAGGACAAACCAGCCCGCGGAGCGAGAGGCGCTTGGGCAAACCAGCCGCCCTTTCGGAAATTAAAAACAACGCAATAAATTACCCGGCTCGGGGCCTCCCCCCGGCCCCGCTGGGTTCCAGGCCGCTGAAAGGATCATTTCTAGATCTGTGGAAATCCCTGCGAGAGGAGCGCAAAGCAGGGGGGGACTCGCAGCCATCGGCTTTGATTAGCCCTCGGACCGCTCCTATGGAGCTTGATTTAAAGGGCGACGCTCGCGCCGCATTTATAAGCTTAAACACAGGCAGCTGCTTATGAATGTGCTTAGCGACCTCGTTCATCTTGTGTCTCTGACTTACATATTTACGAGTTATAAAAACAGTGACCGGAGCCACCTCCAGAGAGGGGCTTTACGGACACAGCGAAGTCGCGCCGGCTCCAACACCCTGCACGAAGCTCTGGCAAGAGCCCATGCTCTAATATTAGACAAGTGTTTAAAGAACAGGGGTGGCTGCGCGCTTTTACTTCTTGAGGAAGAAAAATCAGGAAAACAAGCCACCTCGGGCTATTTCGTGCCCTCTCGGCAAGGCATCCCCGCCGGGGAGCCATCCTGTGAGCGCGGGGAGGAAGCAGCAGCCTAAGTGGCCGCGGCGGCGCGGAGCTGCGGATTAGAGGCGAAGTTTGACCTTTACCCGGGACGTGTGGCATTTCATTTAACCAGAGTGCTAAGCACAATGCGCCAGCGAGATCGCTAAACCGATTTAAAATACATATTGAGTCATGCGCGCCAGCGGCGCGCTCCGGCCAGGGGGGCGCGCAGCGCCAAAGGGGGTCGGCCACTATTTTTAGGGTCGCCGCTGCGGCCACTCTCCCCCCGCATCGCGGCGGCTCCCGGCCCGTCACGTGTCGGGCGGTGACGGGGACTTTCTGCCGTGTAAACAGAGCCCAGCGAGGGCACACGGGGCCACCCGCCCCGACGGGGCCCCCCCGCTGCGAGGGGCAGAGGTTGAGGGGGGGTACCGGCCCCGTGCCCGCCGCCCCCCCACCACATCCCGCGCCGTCTGTCGCGCCTCGGCCCGGGCGCAGACGGTGCCTGCGCTTGCCCCCCTGCTCGCCCATATGCTGCGAGGCGAATCGCTGCCTCGCTGCCGGCCGCAGCCAGAAAGGGAAGGGGGGAAGGAGGGGAACACACACACACCGAAAAGTTTTCAATTAACGATAAGCTTGGGCAGCGGGGAAGGGCGGGAGGGGAGGCAGGAAGGGGAAGTTAAAATGGCTGGAGAGCCTTCAAATAACCCCGCGTGCCCCCCCCCCGGCTGCCCTCCCGGCTCGGGGGAAGCCCCATGTGGGCTCCCCAGGCCTGATGGGGGAGTCCCCAGCATGCTGCCCCACAGGGCGGCCCGGGGCCAGCGCTGCCCCATGGCACGCTATGGGGGGCTGTGGGGCACTCTAGGGCAGGGGTCCCCCCGGGGAAGATGCAGTGAGCAGGGGGCAAGGCCGGAGGGGGTTGCCTCCACGGGAAGGCAACGCGGTCCTGCCTGCCTTGGCTGCCAGAGGGAGGCAGGCAGGGAGGCAGGGAGGTGATTCCCGGGCTTTCGGGAAACACCGATTCCTGTAGGCACGGATGCTGCAGGCGGCAGCGCTGCGCGCTTGGCTCCTCCGGGCAGGGGTTTCCCTGCACGGCCCCCGGGCACCGCTCCGGCTGCAGCCCCAGGGCAGGGGGAAGCGCCACGATCCTGCTCCACTGCGGAAACCCTTGCGCCCCAACGGGGCCCCCCGGCGAGAGCCACCCCTCCCCTGCCCCCGGCATCTCCGCGCGCGGCGCGGCCGCGCCATTTTAGAGACACACTCGCACCGCCGGTCACACGCGCACCGTCAGCCACACGCACAGTCACACGCGCGCCGCCAC